AGATGGAACATTGTGGGTGTGGTGTATGAATGTTAACACTTTGTAATAATTCTTTAGTATATTACTTGTGTGGTGTAGAAGATAATTATTTAAGATTGTAATTATGTAAGAATGTTAACACTGTTATAATTCTTTAGTATATTACTTGTGTGGTGTAGAAGATAATTATTTAAGAATGTAATTATGTAAGAATGTTAACACTCTGTTATAATTTTTTTAGTATATTACTTGTGTGGTGTAGAGGATAATTATTTATGTAGATTTACTGCTTGCAAACCAATGATGGTAAGATGATGTCATGGGGTAGGACTGGATAAGTCTGACTTCTTCCTACTCCATTCAAGCATGTACTAGGTATAAGCAAATTGATATTGGATTAGCATTTGTTGGATATGTGTAAAATTATGTGTGTTGATATATCAACTGTTTTTACATGCTTGAAAGAAATAATCAATCAATCAATCAATCAAAAATCAACTTCATATCAGAACCCCAAACACACTACTTCAGTAACGCTTCCAGCAACATCATAGCTTAAACACGTTGAGCTAATGCTATCTACAGTGCCTTGCGAAAGTATTCGGCCCCCTTGAACTTTGCGACCTTTTGCCACATTTCAGGCTTCAAACATAAAGATATAAAACTGTCATTTTTTGTGAAGAATCAACAACAAGTGGGACACAATCATGAATTGGAACGAAATTCATTGGATATTTCAAACTTTTTTAACAAATAAAAAACTAAAAAATTGGGCGTGCAAAATTATTCAACCCCTTAAGTTAATACTTTGTAGCGCCACCTTTTGCTGTGATTACAGCTGTAAGTCGCTTGGGGTATGTCTCTATCAGTTTTGCACATCGAGAGACTGAAATTTTTGCCCATTCCTCCTTGCAAAACAGCTCGAGCTCAGTGAGGTTGGATGGAGAGCGTTTGTGAACAGCAGTTTTCAGTTCTTTCCACAGATTCTCGATTGGATTCAGGTCTGGACTTTGACTTGGCCATTCTAACACCTGGATATGTGTATTTGTGAACCATTCCATTGTAGATTTGGCTTTATGTTTTGGATCATTGTCTTGTGGGAAGACAAATCTCCGTCCCAGTCTCAGGTCTGTTGCAGACTCCATCAGGTTTCCTTCCAGAATGGTCCTGTATTTGGCTCCATCCATCTTCCCATCAATTCTAACCATCTTCCCTGTCCCTGCTGAAGAAAAGCAGGCCCAAACCATGATGCTGCCACCACCATGTTTGACAGTGGGGATGGTGTGTTCAGGGTGATGAGCTGTGTTGCTTTTACGCCAAACATAACATTTTGCATTGTTGCCAAAAAGTTCGATTTTGGTTTCATCTGACCAGAGCACCTTCTTCCACATGTTTGGTGTGTCTCCCAGGTGGCTTGTGGCAAACTTTAAACAACACTTTTTATGGATATCTTTAAGAAATGGCTTTCTTCTTGCCACTCTTCCATAAAGGCCAGATTTGTGCAGTATACGACTGATTGTTGTCCTATGGACAGAGTCTCCCACCTCAGCTGTAGATCTCTGCAGTTCATCCAGAGTGATCATGGGCCTCTTGGCTGCATCTCTGATCAGTCTTCTCCTTGTATGAGCTGACAGCTGTAATCGCAGCAAAAGGTGGCGCTACCAAGTATTAACTTAAGGGGGCTGAATAATTTTGCACGCCCAATTTTTCAGTTTTTTATTTGTTAAAAAAGTTTGAAATATCCAATAAATTTCGTTCCACTTCATGATTGTGTCCCACTTGTTGTTGATTCTTCGCAAAAAATTACAGTTTTATATCTTTATGTTTGAAGCCTGAAATGTGGCAAAAGGTCGCAAAGTTCAAGGGGGCCGAATACTTTCGCAAGGCACTGTATGTGAACATCTAAATACAAAACTCTTGAACTGATGACTTTATTCTGCTCTTTGTCAAATGATTTCTAGGAAAAAGAAAAGCTGACAGTGGTGTCTGGAAGAGCTGAAGAGCTTTGACATCATGCTCCTATCATCAGCTGGACCTGGAGATGCTGTATATATGTAACAGTCTGAGATTTCTGGGTGGTGGGAAGTGAACTTTCAGTGACAGGTTAAAACGGGAGATGGTAAGAAATTTCATTTCATTTCACTTAAAATAATCAGTCTTTGTTTTTTCTTAATTTTAGTAAACCGCTTTAGGCTGCATGTTTGCTCATCCATATTTTTTATTTATGGCTGAACTTTATTTAATACTGTATGATGATATTCCACTTTTCTGTATCATAATTTGACTACTGTTGTCTCTGTTCACTTTTTTCTTCCAAGTTGAGAGTCTAAGCATATTGTTTGTTGCAAAGACTGATTATTTTCTGTTTAACTCCAGCAAATGTACAAGTCTGAACAGACAACAGCAGTGCACATAAAAGACACAGACATTTATCTCATTCATTACAATGAGACCACTGCATTAGCACAGTGGGGTGCCAGTGCACAGGAAGTGTCTGGGTATAAAACTGAACCTGGCTCGTCTCTTTCCACAGGATAATTCACTGTTATCCAGCAACACGTTGTTTTAGCCTCTTAGCTGCACATTCCTGTTAGATTACGATGTGTCAGGCACTTTAACTTATGTTCAAGTCTTATTGTATTCTAAATTGTTGGGCAGTGTTGCACCTTCCAGCACAGAATTCTACTACTTAAACTGCCTTCCTCGGGCTTGTTTAACCCAATTTGCAACATGCAAGTTGTGACTTGCAACATGAGGTCATCTCCTCATGTCTTAATGCTGACATGTGTCACCAATCCAAACGAATACACACCTGTCATCCATGCACGAGCATATAAGACCCCTGTAGGACTCAAATGTATCTGCAATTTGTGTGAGAGTGAGCTGTCGCCAGATGCAATGTGCATATAAGCAGTGTCTGTCTCACTGGTAGCTGTGTCAACACGCCTCCACCTCGCTTTTGCTACCGCCTCCCAAAGTAATATTTAGAAGGCCGTGAATATAAGCATTAATAATTCAAAGTGAACATCTTAAATTGAACCTGAAATGTTTATTGACAATGTTAATTGATCTTCAGAGGCTTTCATACTGTACCTGCTTCATCTTGGCTAGCTCTCTCCGTGTGTGCTCATCGTTCCTCAGGTCCTTCTTGTTCCCCACCAGGATGATGGGAACATTGGGACAGAAGTGCTTCACCTCAGGCGTCCACTTCTCAGGGATATTTTCTGGCTCGGGAGAAATGAGAAGTAAGCTGAAATGCTCAAGAGAGAACGAGCTATAAAAAGGGATCGGCTGCACAGAGTCACAGTGGAGAACACTTCTCATGACAGACTGCTCTGCAGATTGCTCTAGGCAAAGCTGTTTTTAGCTGCACTAACTCTACTTCCCATAAAGTTCATTAAGGCAAACAGCTTGCTTAGCTGATATGGAATGCTTTGATTTTGAGAAGTAAAATAAAATCTAAATTTTAATCTGCCAACTTTATGCCTGCAGTTCCTTACCTAAACTGTCAGGGCTGTCGATGGAAAAGCACATGAGAATAACATCTGTGTCGGGGTAGGACAGAGGCCTCAACCTGTCGTAGTCCTCTTGGCCTGCAGTGTCCCACAGCGCCAACTCCACCTGGGACAAAACAAAACAAAAACTTCAGCAAATACACACATAATATACATAGACTACAAATGGAGCTGATTAAATCATGGTTTTGGAAACAGAGCGATTCAACTTTTACTCCTCATTACCACCATGATTTATTCATGTCCTTTTTGTAAGCGTATTGTAACATGACTCCATTTTAAAGGGTAAAAATGAAAATGAGCTGTCTACCTAGTAATGTTTCTCACTGTCTCAAATGGATACACAAACAAACATTTAACCAGTCACAACATAATTACTGGTGAACTTTCTCTTCTCATCCATCGAGAGCCTTGACTATTTGGAAATGATGTACTATATGAACCTTGAGGCATGTTGTGCCTCTGAGTAATCTTCCCAAATGCCTGCACTTTAAATAACAGAAAGTAAAGTACGTTAAGGTCATTTAAACATTTTCCTCCTCTGACCATACATAGTATGTATTTTAATTAAAGCTTATGATGTGTGGTTTTTCTCAAGTTCTTTTCCCTTGTTTGTGGGATATTAGGTGTTCGCTGATTTCCCCCTCACCGCCACTGCAGCTCTGACCTAATCAGAGCATTCTACGTCTGCCGTGTTGTCAGTGTTGAGGAAATGAACCTGGCGGACTGGACTCATCCCAAAACACCACTAATTAATTCAATTAGGGAAAGTGGGAGATTAGGAGCATCAAGCCGTCCATGTATGGACATTAGAAGCCAGTCTTCAGTTGACTCCACTCCTAAGATAAACTGTGTTCGAGAAAAAAAAAAGACTTTTGCAAAGGTTTTAAATACTGGGACTTTACTGCATGACAAAAGATTCTGGTCTGCCCACAGAGAGCACAAGCATCAGTCAACCGTCCCAAAATAGAGGCTTGCAGAGGCCGAGGGTGGGAGGTGGCTGCAGTTAGGCTCCCAGTGGACTTGCTGTAAGCTACAGACTTTGGGATAGAAAGGAAAGTTGGACAAAACTGCTATTTTAGAACCTGCACAATCCACTTAAGGTGGGAGGAAGATACATTGATACAAACTGTACAATTACAAACAAACTAATTGTATAATGAGTTAATTCTTATTAAAGAGCCATTTTCTTGAGTGTTGGGGGATAACGGAAGTAGCCGACAGTCATATCTTTACCAAAATAATTCCCTCCTAGACCAATGTTCGTCATGAGCTCCTAAGTTTATATTTCCTGTCCAGAACAGTTAACCCCTTCTTGCCTCTCCCTACCTAAGGGTGACCAGGACAGGAAATGACAGCTGTTTATTGGGCAGGATAGGGATGGTCCTGACGGAAAGAGGGGGAATGCCAGGAGACACCCCTGTTCTCTGTCTGAACAGGAAGCTGGGAAGTAGAGTCATTTCCTGTTTTGCCAAGTGGTGATTCTGCAGCAGTGGTCAGCTCAAGAGAACAAAGCCCTCTGACAACATCTGTGGCTCAGTCTGGACCCTTGCTGGCCCACCCCTCACGGCTCAAACTCAAGATGTCACACCCACACCCACACACTTGTGAGTAATACTTCAGTGTAGTTGTTTTCATAACTCTGGCTGTGTCCAAAATCATCCTTGTTTATTAGACAATGCATTTTACTGACCCCCCTACTATTTTATTTGAAAGTCTGAATTCTGAATGTGAAATTTACAGGTAGCGTTTAGGCTAGCATTAGCTGATCTGTCCTGCTCTTTGTTAAATTTGAGAACATTTACACTCTAGCAACACCAGCAAACATTTCCAAAGATGCATAGAGGTTAGGCTTTATTCTAAAGGCCTATGCTCTGATGTTAACACATCAGAAATTAAAAATCTGAACAACAAAATATAAATCTAGCCCATTTCATGTCCAAAAAGCTGCTTAAGTGTCAACTGTACAAACCTGTTTTCCGTCAACCTCGATATCAGCGATGTAGTTCTCAAACACTGTTGGGACGTAGACTTCAGGAAACTGGTCTTTACTAAAAACAATGAGAAGACACGTTTTCCCACAGGCGCCGTCCCCGACAATCACCAGCTTCTTCCGAATGGCTGCCATCTCTGTCGGGAAACAAAAGGAGGGGTTTTTTATGAGGTCTGTCACAAAAAAAATCAAAAGTGCCAAATTTACTATCAGTATCCAGGAAATCAGAGCAGCTGCTGCAGTACTCGGTGGTGTCCTAAAGCAGACAAACCACCACACTGCTTTTGATATCTCCAGATGCTTCTTTAGTTCTCCTCCAGAATATTTTCATAGTAGACAAGGTCATAATTATCTCTAAATTACTTTGTATTAAAGAAACAGTCCCTATGTTAGAAGCGCTACAAAAGGGTTTAGAAAGCTGCAAGCTGTAGTGCAAATCAGCATACAACCATTTCCCATCCACAACAAAACCATGCCAGACAAATGTAGAATTAAATCACATCTACAATTCCAGCGTGAAAGGTTGACTTCTTGTATAAGAACGCAGTGGACCAAAAATCAGTTCAGCAGAGAGCACTGGTTTATCTGGTATACAAGCAGGCTGTGTGGGGATGAGCTAGCGATGCTGCTGATAGATGAGTTGGAGCCCTGCTGCTTGGGAGCAGCTGTGCATATAGTCGTGTGGCTCCCCACCCCAATCGCTTTCTGCCAGACAGCCTTGACAGCAATCCTCTTAATGAGGGCACCCACTTATCAGGGAAAATTCATCTTTCAGTGCCGCAGGCACAGGTTTGAGTGGAGCCTGTCCCAACGCCCACTTTTAATCTCTGCATAGCAACATCAGGTGTTTCAGTAAAGTAGCATCAAACTGAGAAAAATCATCACAAATACAGATTGAAGTTATTAGTCAAACTATTATTGGTTTGCTTTGCTACCACAGATTAGCAGATTGGTATCACCAATTATATTGTTATCTAGCTTGTTAATCATTTCTTCCATGCAGCACAGGATATATTTATATGGATATAGTTAAAGGATATATTTCCATGGTTATTAAGACTTGGCAAATTGGTAGCCACACAGGACATTTTGGGCGTTTTTGTTTGTTTAACAGTTTATTAACATATTGTTACTCTCGATGCAGAAACTGTGGCCATGGTTTAGGCATATTTTGTGCCTTTTGCTCCTTCTGGTGCCTTGTACTGTGTTAACAGTTGCAGAGGTTTTGCCAAGAGGTGCCAAAGATGTGTTTATATTTAGATAAGCAGGCAAATCCCCTGAATATGACTGTAAAATGACAACCAAAATGATCATCCACTTCAGCTGCCGTTGCAAATGCCCCTATTGATATTAAAAAAAGCTGAATATTTAATGACAACAAAGGCTCCTTCTACTGACTCCAGAGAAACTGTGCGGTATCTTGTGCCCTCCGGAGATGTTGAGTTTAAAGCCAAACAAGTGGGAGACAGCAGCACCGCGGCCTCGGAGGCTCACCCTGTGGAACAAAACAATCCACTTCCTGTTCTGTGAAGCCTGGGAGGGTTTTGGCTGCTGGTCTGTTTGGACAGGACTCAGAGAGGACACAGAGAGGGGTGCTAGTAGACCTGAAGCAACATATGCAAGCATGCACACATGCTTACTCGCTTAAACATGTACATGGTCCCTATCTTTGCACAAGTCAATGATAGCTTGTCCCTGGTGGCTATGATATTGGGAGTCTGTAAATGAACACCTTGACACATTGCCAGAAGGAAAGTATTGGTGAAAGTGTGCCACATAGTTGCAAACTGTACTGAATACTCCTGATACCCAAGACTGATGCTCTCCAATTAGATGCTACTGACCACTAATGACAGCAACAACTGAGGAGGAAGTTTGGTAGTAGCTTGATCTCACTCTGATTCAATCAAAACATGTGAATGGCCACCACCTGTCTGCAACCAGTATCCATTGGCTGAGCCCTACTTTGACACTAGTGACCGAAAGCAGAGGCGTCACTGAGAGTTTAACTGTTCTCATGAGAGCTGAGACAAAAGCAGAAATAGTTCCACATTATTCTGTCAGCTCCACATAAACATCCTTCAGTTCAGGGGGCAGGCATTTCCATTTAACCATCGCTGTGACTCTACACAACAGTTATTTGTGATCTAACATTTTTCCTCTCAATCTTCTAGCATTGATTCCAACCTTTTCAGCTTGTAGCCCTTTAAAATAAGAACTGCCTACGTTCAGTCTGACTTCAGACCAAATAAACATCGACCCTTAGCAATGCAGCAGGAACACTAACACAAAAGGCTTCAGCAAAACAAAAAAAAGTAGGCGTTCTGACTAAGAAGTTGAACTAAGCCCAACCTTTGTCTCAACACCAAACACAATGTCATCTGGCAATGCACTGGTTAATAACATACACGCAAGCATGCATTCCTGGTGGATTATTTGTAACGTGACTGCTGCAACAAAAAATAATTACTGCTCTGAATACATTCCAGAGATGTAAAATCCTGTTTCACACTCCTTACTCCAAACTACTGTGTTTTAAAAGTCATGAATCTGTAATAAAGCAGGCTGTTGGTGAGATTGGTGGAGTTGGACAGTGACGGTGGCTGGTCATGTTGAGCAGGCCTGGCTCTCTGATGAAAGCGCTTAGCAAGCCAGTTGGGCATGACTGCTGCCAAGTTATCTGCTCTTTGTTTGTGTGAGGACAGGATTCAAACATATTTTAAAGGTGCACTGCATTAGACAGTGGTATGTTTATGCTGTAACCGGTGACTACTAGTAGGACTGGCTGAGCTGCATAACTAGGGCTAACAGCTGGATGATTGAGTAGGGAATTCAGATGAAAGTGCCACTCAAGCCAGCAGGGCCAGCTTAGCCTGAGCAGATGAAGTGTAGATATGAGGCTTGCTCAAGCTACAGAGCATTTACTCTTTGATTGAGTGAGGGTAAAAAGTGCGTTAGGTAAGGTCAAATGTAGGGTGGGTGAGGGCAAGAGACTATCGCTGCCGGTGGGGCCCAGCAGAATCATGATGCCGTGGCCTGATAATCACTGATAGGTCATACTGTCATGACCTATTAGGCCAATGTCATTTTGGTCTGACTGCCCACTAGCACAACCCCTCGTCACATGCTGTATACATCTATCTATAAGTTGTAGACAAAGAGTGATTTTGTTTACCAAAAGTTAACCGAAATGAAGAAAGCACAAAAACCATAGCGGGCACATGTGAGCGTCAACAAGTAATGAAGAAAAAGTGTGAAGCCTTCAGAAACTGAAAACCCTATAAAACCTGATCCAAACACAACTTAAGGACCCATTAAGGTGCATGTGGAAAGCAAAGCACTATTAATTCCTACAACTATTTGAGCAACATCCCAGGTTAATGAATCCACCTCTCTAAGGAGGTTTCCTGGGGCTTAGGGGCCAACAAGAGTTATGCAACAAGCTGATCAGAGTTAGCACAGAGCAAACTGGCAACCAATAAAAGGCCTGTTGTTTCTGAGATGATGACTTTTTTGTACTGAGGTCATACAAGCAAACATATATGAGTCCAAATAGGGTAGTCTCGATTATCTAACAGAGCTCCCAAGGCCGCACCTCTCTCTTTGATATACAAAACTAGACTTAAAAAGATCAGTTAGTCAACAGGTGATAACAAAGAAAAGTTATTGTGGGGGTTTTCTGTGTTACGTTCGTACACAGGAGTTGTCAAGGAGCTCAGTCAAACTTGGTGGAGACAAAGCCTTGACATCTAGCTGAGCAGCAAACACAGTGCTGGACTATGACTGTCATTTGGGGAGATATCTGTGTGAAACAGCACAAAATAAATTTTACTAGAGAATAAAAATGACCCAAACTTGAGGTCCATGATTTTTACATGACTACGCTGCAGCATCTTTGGCACCTCAACTGGAACTTATTTCTAATAAGGAATTAGCATTTTTTCCACTTCTATTTCTCATAAGGTTTGAGCTGAAAGGCTGCTTTCTGAAAAAAAAGAGAGAAGAAGAGACCTATAAATCTGAGGGCACGCCAAAATTTGCCTCACCTCTGCAAGTGAGTCTGAGAAATGAGTCAAAGCTGACAGATGTCGTGACTGAGACAGTGCTGACAGTCTGCAGAGCCTTAACCCAGATGTTAAAAATTTTACATCTGATCAAGTCTGACAGGAAGCATTTGACAACAGACATGCACGAGCAGACATTTGGTGACTACCCCAAAACTCATCTTACGAGAATGCTTCAGACTGCTTTTGATTAGGTGTTTATGAATACAGTGAAGAGAATCCTGCGTTTACGTATGTGGACTTGAGTGCATGAAATGAGCACTGAGCTCTCTTTACACAACAGCAGGAACACACACGGCCAATCAGGTCAGCCACAAATTGTTTGGGCGTATGTTACAAACACACCAGATCCCTTCACTGAGTCATGACTTTCCTGGTACACCCATGGAAATGATCAAATGTGCCAACAGTGAACCAGCCCATGAGACAGAATGACCCATTTATCTATGCATAAATCAGAACCTAACTAATTCAGGAACTAAAAATTAAATGTTAACACAGGAATAGTTCAACATGTTGGGAAATTATTATTATTAATATTATTATTTGTTTACTTGCTTAGAGTTAGATGAGAAGACCACTCCCATGACCGCAAGGTAAATATGAAGCTCCAGCAAGCAGCAATTCAGCTTAACATGATGACCAAACTCAGATGATGAACTGCATGGCTTGGAGAGATCTGGCACTTTATGACTCACCTTTGTAAAATAACTCCGGTAATAAGCAGATAAACAGGGCTGGAATGTCAGAAAACAGTGAACATCACCCTTCCACTATGCACAAGGAAACATGTTCAAAATGTTTTTGTCTGACCTGCCAGACAATAACTAATAAAAATCCATTTTTGACATTTGAGAAGCAGAGAGCAGGGGATTTTTGGCATTTTTATCCCCCCCAAAAAGACCCAAAACTATTCACTGTTTATCAAAAGTTAGTGTTGAAACAAAAGTTTGATAATGATTTAGGTAATTATCCAGGCAAAAATGCCAAATATTTAATGGGTCCAGTTTATCAAAGTCAAAGCAGCTCTGTTGGGTTAAACTGTCAGTCAAAAAGACTCAAAACTAAAAATCATTAAGGGGATTATTCAACATATTTTAGCCCCAAAGTCAAAAATTCTAAACATATTAATCAACCACGGAAATAATCAGAAACGCACATGTACAAAGATGCACATGAAATGTTTTTTTGATCAAGTTCTTTTAGTGATGGAGCTAGAGATTGTGCTTCTTCAGTTAAATGTGAAACATAAGCATCACAAACGCTGCACATTTGTTTTGTCCAACCACCAGTCCAATGACAGTCAAGTTAATTAATGCTACAAAAGAGAGAAACGCAGGAAATACTCATAATTGAGAAACTGGAACCAGAGAACATTTGCCATTTTCCTTAACATAGTCTATTAATATACTGTATTATTGTATTATAGCCTCATTCTGTACTATCAAAACTGTTAAAAAATACGTTATATTTTATGTTAATCGACTAATCTGCTAATTGTTTCAGCACATCTAGATCTTACTATCCTCATCTACCTGCAGGTACATTAAGAAACAGGTTATATTTAGCATGAATGTCACGTGTATGAGGTTTTCTGCGAACTCAGCAGGATGGTCATAATATCATATGTAGGCCTAAAAAAAACCAACCTTAAGTTAATGAGACTTTCCTATTAAAATCACATTAAAAGCTCCGGATTGGCACTCTTGGCCCCAGTTAAACCCTTCTTGACGTTTCAAATAACTCTCTTATGCTCTCACATTTCATTCTCCACATATTTTGTTATGTTTGAAAATCATTCCTGGCAGTTCCAACAACGCAGTCTGAGAAATGTGTGGCTTTATAATGAGGAAATTAAGTGTCTCCAGGAGGAGAACAGGCTCATTAGGAGATTTGCCATGCGGAGTTGCTTAATGAGATCCCAGCAGTTGGACAGACTGTACATACCGACAGGATCGGATCTACTGCTTTGACTTTGAAACTACCAACAATAAAGATATCAACAGTTGTACAGAAACACGACCAGACAACCACACTGGATACACTTCATTACCGCGGTGTCAGAAATTAAACTATTACCTAAGCAGGAAACGGCGACTGTTAGTACAAGAACAAGCCACCACCTTGTTCTCACCAAACTAAGTCAGCTATAATTAGAATCTTGACTTGTGTCAAATGAGAATGTTTAGTCAAACTACAGCTTTTGCTTCATAATTACCTGTCGTTCGCCAGATAGGAGGTTATTACAAATATTAATCCCCGCTTGCTCTTTCCTCTTGATCGTGACACACACAGTTCCTGCTGCAGTATTCACTAATTGTACAGAGAAGATGCTGAGAAACGGGAAAGGCGAGCAAGATCCTCCCACCGACACCAACGACAAGCTAACATGCTAGGCTAACATGCTAGTACTTCCGTGTAGCACTTTCAAAATAAACGAGGAGTTGCGCCCTTAAAGGATTAGTCCGTTGTTATTCCACATTTTTCAAACATTAAAATACTTTCTGAGTTCTCTGCGGCTCCCAGCCCTAAGCTCACTGGCTCATGCTGATGGAATAATAAAAAAGGCTCACAAATGCACAACCGGTTAAAAGTTCTAGAACACCCCAATTTTTCCAGTTTTTATTTTGACATTTAAACTAAGTCACCAAAATCAAAATCGGATGTCAATTCCTCATAAAACAGGTTATCCTATAGCTTTTCTGCAGCAATTCTGCAGACTAGATAACTGACACAAACAATTGCTCCAACTTTAACTTATAAATTAAAACAAATTCTATATGTACAAAGGCAGAGTAGGAAAGGTCGGTGTTACTACACCTTCTGAAGCATAATCTGGAAAAAGACAATTAACAAAGGAAGTAGGACCTCTTCACAGTTTTAACCCCATAGCTGAACAATGACCCAAAATAACACCTCCATGCTGTGCAAAATATAAGAACACATGATGTCCAGACTTCCAAGATCAATAGTGAAAGTAAAACAGTAGTGCTGTCTAGTCAAACTATATTTTATTTCACCTGTAGAACAAAAACCACAAGTTTGTTCAGCTGTTGAATTACACTAACAACAAAAAATGGAGGTGTTATAACATCTTGACCAGTAGTGTATATTGTTTTATTTTATTTTTAATGAAGTAAACAATTTCCTACAACAGTGAGGCACTGTAGTTGTTAGCAGATGTTACTTAATATTTGAGGAGTAATAGTCTATCTGGTTAATTTTTTTCTTTGCTTGACCTAATTCAAATAGTTTGGAGAATTTGGCCACTTTCTGCATGTTAATATACTAAATATTTTATAACACACTGAATGGGCTATTATGTTTATTCTTATGATGTATGACAATTGTCTTATTAACTGTTATAACCAAGAATTTTATGCTTGGCCAGGACTCTGTTGAAAAAGAGATTGTATTCTATGTATTGTATGTGTTTATCTGGTTGAATAAAGGAAAATAATAAAGCTTTGATTATAAAAAATCAAGTATAACATAATTTATAATATACATACCGTATAATACCATTTGTTTACCTCTGGCTAAACAGTTTTTGGTGATTTAGTGCTGTTTTATTGTTTGACATTATCTCTCAAATAAGCTCCTGGCAGCAGATTATCTGAACAGCCAGACCAAACTTTACACAATTATTTTGAAGGCTAATGCCTATGTTGTTATGGTTATGCCTGTCTAACTTGATGCTGGAGTCACCCAGGTCCCTCCTCCCTTCCCTGTTCAAAGATGACATCATCTGTAGTACAAGACTCATGCAACAGGAGAGATGGGTGTGGATCTTAGCAGTGTCGCCCTCTGAGCAACGAGACCTCCATCATGAATTTCCTATCTTTATAGTCACTTTCTGCAGGCTGCAAGGTATGATTTGTGACATATCATTATGAATATAGCTGAGCATTCAACACCAGTGTCTCTCTATTATTAAATGATTGTTTTCACATTACCTTTCCTAAGCTTGTATGTTTGACAAGCAAACACATACAACATTTATTCTGTAATCTGAGAAAAAGGCCTGATAGTATGGTAAATACATGTTTCTTCAATGACTGCAGTTGTGGAAAATTCAAGTGTTGTGGTTATTGCAACCGATTAGATCTTTGCTCAGGTTGAGCTAATTAGGAATTAATGTAGGGTCATCAAATCCATTCACAAATTGGAATATTAAAGGGGATTTTTTTTCTTTCTTTTCTCCTCCCTCATCCTCTTATCACAAACCCATATGCCATGAAATCTAAAATGATACATATATATTTAATTTAACCTGTTTTGCCAAAGAGAACTGTCACATGGCTGTAAATGAATAATAAGAAACAACTGAATGTTCAAATCACAAAAAATGTTGTTCTACCTTACAACAAAACTAATAGGACAGTGGCCAGTGAGTGTATTTGCATAAATTACAATGTTCATATATCCTAATATAACTGTATGAAAAGTTGATTGTGCATAAGTTGAGGTCTTTCAGTACTGTAAGTTTGTTGGTAATACTTTAAATAATTCCTTTCACATTAGTACAGTTTTTAATGGAAGACTTTTTCTTGTAGTGTAATCATGATATTACTCTTAGTAAAGTATCTCAGGTCAATGAAAAAATCCAGGAACTATTATAACTAATTAGATTAATTTCCTTTTGAGAAATACATGGAATTGAGAGTTAGTGACACAATAAACACGTTCAAAGCAAATGGGGGGGAAAAAATCAGATTTATTTTTAAACTGGCAAACATTATCCTTCTATCTCACATTTTAGGAACTCATTTTCTATGACACACCATCTCTCTGAACAAACAGGTATGGATAGCAACATAAAAATAAAACTTTTGATACTGTTTACAATCAAAGTTCTTTAAAAATATATGGATAATCTAAATAACAACATGACATAAAAACAATACAAAAGAGGTATACAGTACATTTAAGGGCATACAATGTTTTTGATGCTTCTGCAAGGATCAAATTTAGTGCATCTGAAGAAAAGAAACTCGAGTCCCTTTCATCTCTTAATAAGGCATATCTGTGATGTGTATCACATCTTACTATACTGACACATTCATGGAGATAAACATATTTTCTTGAACAAAGAAAACATAGTAAAATTAAAGAAATCATCCTCTTCCTTCTTTTTTTTTTACTGAACACAAATACTGTTCTCATTATTGTAATGACAAAATAAAACAAATCATCTACTATATGAGCACATTCAGTAAAAAGACATCACAAATCAACAGGCCAGCACACAGCATGTGCAACATTCTTCAAGTGCCTCAGGTGTCGTCATTCAGTCATCCTTAACAAAGGAATTACAACACAGACTCATCTGATTCTGTGGGTCCAGTGCTCTAATGATTCATTCCTCAGCTTTGCCCTCCTCCATGCTACTTTAATGTACAGACATGAATGTAATGATTGTTTTTGTTTTATCGTTGATCTTTTATGCATTTATTTGTACAGATTTCCATCCTTATGCCCTAGGGACGTCTCTTTGGTTTCCCTTACAGTTGTGATCTCCTTTACAAGCTATGATTGTGAAATTGTGAAGGACTTTTTTTAAAACAAAAGGGACATTTAGGGCATGACATGAATATGAACATCAAAGGTTTGAGTAGCAGTCCAGTCTGTATAACCAGGAAAAGATATACTAAAAGAAATTAATTCTCACTAACCGCCATCACAAACGGTAGGTCTGGGAGGCAGATTGTGACTTCTCTTATAATGTCACTGAAAATCTTTTGTTACATGACTGATACCAACTAACGGAGATGGTTAGGCTGAAATGTAGTAGCTAGCAACTGGGACTGGATCTGATGATGGTTGATGAAAGTGCTGCTCAGATCTGAGTTTTCCCTATGACAAAGGTGTTTTTATCTCCTGCTGCCCCTACAGTTCAGGGTTTAGGAGGGAGTTAGGAAGAATGACCATGGGAAGGACCCTAAAGAGTGAGGCCTGTCGCTGCAGCACCTCATCATGTCTCTGACTCATGCCCCGCCAATGGGATGACAAACACAGTAATGTCATCACCTGAGCCCAGTTTATCATTGGGTAGCCGCCAGCCACGCTCTTTCAGCACTCCTCGAGACTTCATCAGCAGGTCCTGGGCTGCCAGTGTGTACCTGTGTAACACACAAAAACAATCACTGTAACGGTGAGACACTGTGATTTAAGACATGCACAAATACACTTACTAAATAAATACTAATATTCTATCCTGTTTTTTTGTCTGTTGCTCATTTAATAAATTAGATTGTCTACTTAACGTATTAACTTAAAGATACAGTTTGTAACTTAAGGTAGCACTAGCTTGAAGTTCCAAATCAATCCACTCTGCTCCACCCAGCACTCCCTCTCCTTGCTCAACTGTGCTCTACTACAGTCTGCTACGCTCTGCCACGCTCTGCCCAGCTCGTCAGATGTTTGACGTTGTGAGTGTGGAAGTCGGATTATATTATAAATGTTATAGTCATCATAAAAGTAGGCCTTTGGCAGAATAGCTGAGTTGGATTCCATTGCACAGGTTGACCTAATAAAGTTTATTATAGATGGGTAATAAGGGTAATTAAACATTTAATAAACATTTAAAATGCTCTTATACCTGCTTAGAACTACATTCAAATTCTAAACAAATTATTTAATGTTTATATGTTGCTTAGAGGTAAATAAGTATACCATAACTATTAATAGGACACCTAAATAATGTACTAATGTAGTTTTCACACAATCGAAATTGTTAAAATTCTTTGATTTAGTGGAATATAAGACTGCAGTGCTTATGTATAAAGCCAGGAACAACTTATTACCTGGTGGAATTCAAAAGTTATTTAATGAAAGGGAAGGAGGATATAATTTAAGGGGTCAGCTAAATCTAAAAGTTCATGCTATACGTACAACCAAAAAAAGATTTTGTATTTCTATAAGTGGGGTCAAATTATGGAATAATTTAAGTGTAGACATGAAAAACAGTACTAGAATTGAGGAGTTTAAATATAAATATAAAAGTATGTGTCATTCAAGATATATGCAAGAATAAGAGATTTAATCAAGAATGCATGAATGAAACACTCTGTTTTAAATTTTCTGTATATTACTTGTCTGGTGAAGAAGAGAATTACCTATGTAGAGATACTGCTTGCAGCCAATGATGCATGAAATTTTTGGTATAAGATGATGTTCTGGGGTAGGACTGGATAAGTCTGACTTCTTCCTACTCCATTCAAACATGTACTAGGTATAAGCAAACTGATTCTGGATTAGCATTGGTTGGATTTGTGTAATTATGTGTGTGTGTTGATATCTTCTGTTTCTACATGTTTGAAAGAATAAATCAAATAAAAAAAATCTAATCAAATATTTGTCACCACCTAGTGGACATACTGGGTACAGCAGTACAGTGCTCAACTTACTTTACGATGGATTTAGGAAACTGCAGCTCATACCTCATGGGATCAGACGGGTCACAGCAGGATAAATAGGCTGTCACAGCATCTGCCACTTCTCTGTCTGTTGTTACATCCCACAATCCATCTGTACCCATGACCATGACATCATCTGGGCCATGTTTGTTTTCATCCAGGTTATAAACTTGTACCTGTGATAGTAAGATGCACTCTTAATCAATTTTTTATGCTGCAGTGATTTATAAACCTTAATTTTCTAAAGGCAGTCAACGTTCTGTCCTACACTCAGAGTCAGGTTCTAATTAAAGTGTGTACACAAGTCAGATGAGGGCCACACCCAATATATGGGCTTCCTGATAATGAAATTCAGCTACAAAATCATCGGTGTGTGCGAGTTAGTGTCACAGATGGCTGCCTCATGTGTGTAACATACTAGGCCAATAAAAGTGATTATCATTAATTCATAGAAAACCTAAATAATAATTCAACTTTACTAGACTCTTATTTTCTGCCATTACACACTTCCAACCTTTCTTGAAAAGGGTTAAAATGACTGCAAGTATATCAACCCTGCACATTCAATCCAAGGTAGAGAGGCTATCTAACTGCTGCCTATCTGGGTGTACAAATTCAAAAAGATGGTTGTTCTCTATATGTCAAATTAAAATGCAAATCAGAGCTAAATGTAGCTAAATGTCATCATGGAGTGTGGTTCTAAGAATTTAGTCTCATCACACCTCATATTAAAAATAAACAACTTCACACTGAGCAGCAGTGTTGGAGATTACATGACATGAATGCTAATCATCGCCACATCTTCTGGTTGTGAGAAAACATTATCATAGTTTGGGAGATTGTGCTGTTTGTTTAAAAGATATTTAAGGTTATGGGATCCCTCAGGACAGCAAGATTTTCTATCTTGATAACAGAGAACACTAAGAACAATATAGACATAATTACTGTACAGCAAGTAAACATAAACTCCACATGCTTGTCATACTTTGTTGATGCTTGCTTTCTCCTTCTAATATCTTTAAATTGTCAGAAGAGTTTCATTTTCATCAACAGGCAAGAACGTGAAGCCCGGTGGCCTATCAGCTGCTTAAATGCATCCTAAAGGCTGTCAGGTGGCTAAAGTAACAATGTTACAGTAACAGAGTTGCTTCTGACTCCTCACACTTACCTCAGGGATGCATGAGAGGAAGGGCTTGATGTAAATGTTGGAGTTGTACACCTTCAGGTCATGATCTCCCAGCCCACGGGTCACTCCGATTGTCGCCATGACACGAGCCTGTGAGTACAACACAGTGATAGAGGCGCTCACATACAGCAAGGGCAAAGACACACATAATAATGTAGGCTATTGCTCCAGGACGTGACTGATTTCTAGAAAAATCCACTAATGAGGGAGACTTTGTTCTCAGACAATAATAAAAATGCTGAGCAGGTTTCATTTCACACCAGACAGATGCTGCAGAAAACAACTTACAGATATGGAAATGTTTCTTAATTAGAATTACAACTTGAATAGTGCAGAGACAAAGTAAACAGATCATATGACTGCTCAATACTACAGAGTGTGAGCAATATAAACTTGTTATGATTATGTTATCAATAATTTAAGTTTTCTGCACCTTAACATTTAGAAAACACCATAACAGGCTGCGATCATTTTTTCTTGTTCATTACCTTTTTCCCCTCTCCGTATATCAGGGGGAATTTCAGATCATCTTCAACGATTGTCTTATAGGCCCTACAACAAAACAACACACCTCAAATGTTAGTTCTTGACTCGTGACTGTTTGAGTCAATAATTGTGTCAGCTCTATTCCAATCTACAGAAAAGTAGCAGTAATTTTCATAATCAGTTAAGCATTTAAGCCATTTTTAAGCACAAATGCAAAGACATTTACTGCTTCCAGCTTTTCTAATGTGAATATTAGCTGGATTTCAGTTTTTTATCACTGAAAACTAACTAAATACTTTGGTGTTAGTGGGTCAAAAAACAAGTAATCTGAATTAGTTACTAGAATTTCATTCTAGAAAAATTATATTTATAAAAATTTATCTTTATATATTTTCATTTTTTCTTTATAAGGTATACTGTATGTATATAAAAAAGAATGGTTGTAATTGTTAGTTGTAGTCACTGACTGGATGTCATTACACTCTAAAACCAAACAGTTATAGAATGCGCTGTCCAGAATGAAGTGTTCATGAAAAGTAATTAACTTTCCAAAATGTGATTAAAGAGGATCTCCAAGTTTACCAGCCAGTCATGGTGTGGTCTCTGTAGAGCATCTTTTTACCCAGCTCGCTGTGCTGGATCCTACGAGGAAACTCAATGTGAGTGAACTCATTACCCAGAAGCTCTGGCCTCAGGAAGCCCTGGAGTGACACACAAAATGGAGCAGGTCACATCAAACTACAGACCAAAATGCCTTACTTAAACCTAAATGTGCATCATGACTCAGTAGTTGTTGTTTTTTTTAACAAGAAAAGCCCTAAAACTGCATTTGTTGAAGATCAACAGCATTGTGTGCTTCATAGTGGAAGCACAAACCATCCGCCCACGCTGCGACTCAGAGCTACAACCAGCTGCTAAAACAGGCAGTCAATGAATGCCAATTTATTCCAGTGTGATCCAGGATTTCCTTCGTCTTCTACACACTACTGTCAGTAGAGCCTCATTTAATTCATACCTGTTGTTAATCAATGTATCTGTGGGCAAAAATACAAACTATTTGTTATTTGTCAACACAAAAAATAAGGAATACCAGATACTGTAGCCGCTGCCTTTCTGACTCAGGTGTGAATTCATTAGTCATGGGAATGACTTCATTATTTCGTATGATTATGGCCCTGCAGAGAGACAGAGAGGCGAGACAGACGTGAGGTGACAGTACCACATTGTCCTTTTACAAATTTTCTACAAATAGTACATATGAGTAGGCTGGTCAGTAAGAACGTTGGTGGAAGAGAGTTACATACAATAATACTGCAATGTGCAAAGTAAACCTCAGAGGATACAAGAAACTACTGTCAGAGAATATTTCCTGAGGCAACAGCTCCATACACTGTTCTGTGTAGCGCTAGAGTGAATTACATTTTGCAGTCTTTGCAGTTTTGCCACATTTCATTCTGATTAATTAAGGGTTCCAGTAGAAAGGTTTTCTCAGTTCTCTCACCTGCTGTCTCCAGCATTGGCCACATAAAGTTTCCCCATTAAATGAATGGCAGCTAAGGCACAACACCCACCAGAGATGGCATAGGACGTTTTTTCCTTTTCAATTAGGTCGTCCTGAAAACAAAAACAAAAGGCAGCAACATCACTTTGCCTCTCGCCACACTGAGTAGCTCATTATTATTTTCTACACTCATATTCAAAACAAAACAGCAGGGGGACAAGGAAGAGCACATTACACTAGTTTGGATTATTATCAGCAACATCTAAACCAGAAAATCAATTTGCAACAAAGACATCCTTTCTAAGGCAACTTTAACATTTTGTCCTGACATTGTCGAGTCATGCTGCTAGCTAAAAAGCTGTGAGAGAAAGTTTCACCAAAGTAAGATCCTTGGCTGGCTAAGACAGTAAACCTGAAGTGTTTTCTGGGAACTGAAGTTAAAATCTTTAGTAATGTTGTAAAACTGCCTAGTGCAATCTGAAATATGCAAGGTTACTGTTTCCTTGTTTGTTCACATGCATTGTCAGTCATCATCTCCTCACCATCTGTTTGAAGGCAGTCTCTATGACTCCCATCACCAGGCTCTCCAAGCTGACAACCTTCTCCATATGGAAGCGGATCGAACAGTCGCTGATGGCTTCGGGATCCTCTGGTTCCTGCGTGGCTCCTTTCTTCACCTCCACCTGGTAGGGGCTACCGTTCTTGGCCAGGCATATAGGAGGTGCATGGCCAGGGTTCTCCAGCAGGTGGCAAATTTCTCCCAGACCGTCTCTGATGAGGCGGTGAAGAAGCTTGGAGGCCATGATGGCAGCTCCCTGGGCCATCCTACAGTGTGACAGGTAGACATTCTTATGGTTACAGGGGTGATTTAAAAATCTCACATGAGATTAAAACTTTTAGTAGAGGGAACACAATTGTCAGAGTTAACAGGCTCTGGGACTGCAGCTGGTGTCATTTTTAATGCTAAGCAATACTGTATGTGTAGTCTAGATTATAATACTGTCTAAAACAATAAAGAACACCAGTGTTTGAGTACTAGAATAGTAAAAGATACGCACACACAAAATTGAAATATTATTACCCACAATATAAATCAAATACCGTATCTGTCTTGACAGGATCTACACAAGCGACAGAAAGATGATACAAGGAATCTCCTCATCCGAGGGCTTTTGCTGAACAGCCAGGATGCATATGGAAAGGCGCTGCCACCTTTGTGTTTGCAGCCATGTTTTTAAGCCGAGCCGGCCTGACTAACACATGAACAGGCACAAGACATCTGTGTACTGTTCTGATGCTAGACTCAAGTGGGGGAGGGGTGTAACAAGGGTTGATGTAATTCATTTACACCCAAATGGAGGTCAAGTGTGTATCTGTGTGTGCAAGTCTCTCTGGAGTAGTACTGCAGGTCAAAAAACAGATACTGACCTGGAGAGTCAGTCAGAAGGATCATTAGCATCATTTTGAAGTAATGTCTCTGGCAACCTGATTTATTTAAGTACATTTAAGTTAAATACAACCTAAGTACAATATTTATTCTCTGTTAGTGCTGTTATTAGTCTCTATCGACTCCTAAGGGAAATATAGTTCTTTAACTATTAATTACCCCACTATGTTCATGCAGGTAACTAACTTTATATGTCTGATATTAGGTGATGGGCTGGTAGTGTACAGTGGGTGTTTATAGCATATTTACTGAAAACAGCTGCCTGCTGTGGCCAAAAATAATACCAAAAGCCATGAGAGTGAACTAAAACAGTAGCTGATGGTCAGAAAACCAAAACAATAAGCTGAAAAACACTAAAGTGTCCTGCAGAGTTGAGGGGAACTGCAGAATTGGGTAATAATTCTTTATGGGGTTTGTCACAACCAGCACGTACTTTTTTCACATGCACGTAGTCAAGAAATCTTCTTTACTACAAAGTTGAGGGTGAAGATCCAGAATCTCAATCTAATTCTTATCTTAGATATTTTGTTTCTTATGCTTGATTTTGTGGTGACAAGAAGGGGTTACTGTGAGGGATTTACCAGAGCTATCTGACTGATAATGTCCCACAAGAGCTTTCGGGAAACTGCAAGTAACAAGATGAATCCATCAATATCAAATAGCATATGAGGACACCACTACTGGGTATCAGATAACTACAATGCATACACAGATCGTGTGAGGAGGTTTCACTACTGTACACTGCTGCGTAGAATATGCTGGGTTCAACTACATACCAAGAATTTCAAATACCCTTCAGTGATTTTCACCTCAGACACCTTCAGGACTAAGAGTGCACTGATGTCAGATTCAAAAACATTAACACCAATTATTTTATGGTGCTATCAATCTCTTGTTTTGATTTTAGGGAGTTTTCCCATTGCTCACCCCGCTGTCCTCTAGCAGAGTGGAGTTGCGGTGTTTGCTGCTCGGCTTCCTCACAAACAGTTTCTCACAGGAGGCCTGGTCCTCGTTCAGCATGCTCTTCCCCGCATTGATCACCCTGACGGAGAAAGAGGAGAAGACAAACGGTGAGCCAGAATCAGACAATTTATAATGTTTGCTCTCATTCCTCTAACCACATTAAAACATAACAGCAGCCAAAAGATGGAGACAGGGTCAAACATTGATGTGAAAAGTGGGGCAGTCGTGTCCCAGAGGGAACTTGCAGGGGGGATTAAGTGTTTTATTATGAGCTGAGGCCTGTGGAGGATAATGGCTTTAGAGTAATGCACTGTTTCATACTCTAGCAGCATCATCTATCCTAGTGTGTTCTGCAGCAGCATTCAGCGGAGGTACCAATAAAGAACGGTGATGCACAGAGTAGGAAAAGGTGCTTCGCTGGTTTGTAAATGTAAAATGATAATCAAGTAGTAATGAACTGTAACAGAATCACCCATTTGACCTTGAAATCTGCAAGTAGGTTTACAAGTTTAAGCTCAAATGATCTTATCACACATTTAGTCCGATGATACCAGGGGAAAAAGTGATGGATTATTTACTGTATGGTTATTTGCGAGAATGCAGACTTTTCAGATAATTCAACATTTTAAACCTTCATTAAAAGATTTTTGTCCACTTGGGGCAGTAGAAGAAACAGTCAACACAACTGTAGGATTTTTAAAATGATATATTATTACTAATAGATACTGTGTATTATTATGCTACTGGGAAATGTTTTGTGGACTGATGAAACTAAGGCAATATGGAGTAAGAAGAGCTGTGTATAGCAACATGAAAACATCATCCCAAAGGTGAAGGACACTGGAGGGAGCATCCTGACTTGGGGCTGCTTTGCTGCCTCTGGGCCTGAAAAGCTGAGGGACAAATGAATTTCCAGTTTATCGATGTATTTTACAGGATAATGTCAGGGCGGATTTCCACCAGCTGAAGCTCAGTAAAAGCCGGGTGATACAGGAGGACGATGACACTAAACACAAAACTAAATCCACTACAGACAAACAAGTTCCACCTTTTGAAGTGGCCCAGTCAGATGACAGATGCTGTAGCATGAGCTCCAGCGACTCATTAACAGCAGAGACATCCCAATAACATGGCTGAGCTGAAACAGCTCTGTAAGTTCCAAAATTCCTCCTGAATGTTGTGTATTTCTGATTATCACAGCTACAAGAAAGTGCTTGTTACTGCAGCCAAAGGAGGCTCGGCCAGTTATTAGATTCAAGGCTTCACACACTTTTTTCCACCAGCACTGGGAATAATTAATGGGTGTGCTCAGTAAAGACACGATTAAAAGACACGACTAGATTCTAATTATATGTGTGTGTATTAGCTTAAGCAAACTATGTTTATCTATACTTGTGACTTTGATGAAAACCAGGTAATTCCACAGGGTTAAGATACTTTTCTTGGCCATTGTATGGTCATTTTACTGACTGACATAAAAATCCTGGTTACAGCAGCTTCAACTGCATTAGTAGGTGATAACAATCCCTTAGTAGCAAAATAAATGCAGACTAAATGTTTCTTTTGATAGATTACACAACTACAACAAGTTTTATGAATCTTTCATGAATTAATTTTCATACTGGACTGATATGAATGTGAGAAATAATACAATTAATCTTTTGCAGTGTTTTGCTGGTCTAGTCCTTTAAATGGCCACATGAGACTGACTTGGATGCCATGCTGGCATATTACATAATGTTTTCAGTTCCATTTATAGAAAAATGCCACATTTACTGGATAATATGGCAAAATGCCATTTGTGCAGTGCCAGTATTACAATTATGGCCATTAAGAAACTACAGAGGAGGAATTTTTACTATTTGAGTTACTGCTGGGTTCATCCAAAGAAGGTCAAAAATACCAAGAGGCCGAAAAATCAAAGGGAGACTTGGAGTCAGTAAAAGGGAACGAAGGCAAAATGTACAGTCAAACAGAGGAGATGAAAGAAAACCAGAGTAAAATCTTATGAAAATAAGATATTTAGCCTTTCACTTTCTAAATAGTTCAGCCGATTACAATCATTACAGAAAATTGCTGCTGGCTAGAGAGAAGCTTTGATATCAGAGCACCGAAAATGCTACTGCTGCCCAAATCTGGATTATAAAAGCCTTTTCACTTTTTAATCATTTGAAAGCAGTGGACAGGGGCCACAGTGTCCTGCACTGCGCTCCAGCATTACGACTAATAACAGGGAAGAATTTAAAGTCCCCTGATTACTGTCGATACTTTCTGCCTAGGCCAGGACACAGGGCTGGACATGGAGGAAACAACTCTACTGATCTCAGCAAATCCACTATGCTCTGCCAGGTCTATTTTTTTTTTCTTATGGCTCAGTTGTGTGCATTGTTTGATTTACTATGGCTTCACTCTGACTTAATCAAGCACCTGGCCCTTTTTGTTGAGGTCATGTTCTACCGTAAACCACTGACTACCTGAAAAAATGGTAAAAACAAATGACTAACATCTACTCTTTTATAGCATTACTCTTCTTAAGATGATTTCACACTCTTTTCCAGATAAAACTATTTTATAATACGATTTATATAATAATAAAATACCATAGTGGCATGTTGGGCTTGCTCTGCTGTGTTATAATACACTAAAATGAAAAATTCCTGATTTAACTTCAGCTACTAGAAACCCATACATTAACACTTGTTTTGAGAAGAGATAAAACATGAATGTAAATGTCCCCTTTCAACATTTTTGCAGTGTAATAAAGCTTCACCACTCCCATAGTAAAGAATCAGCCATTTTTCTGTCACATGCACTCAATGAGCTATAATTGAACATAATGTCAGCTGCGTGGGAGGATGTGATTCTGGAGCTTGAGCCATCCTACACTGTGACCTAACTCTTGTGTTTCGGTCATATGTTTCCACATCTTGTGACTGAAAACCACTTGGGCCATGTTTGGTAGTTTGGTAAAAGAGTGTTTCTCTATTTCAGCTCTCCTAATTTATACAGAATTATGCAAGGAAATTTCAAAAGAGGAAGTTACAGTGAATTCAGAGAGTTGCAGTGAATTCTTTCATCGCTGCTATTGGACATTTAAACGCCATAAATGTAAGGGAGATGCCTGCCTGTGGAAATGTGGTGTTATTAAACATCATCTCATAATAAAAAAAGACAAATTCTGGACATAAAGCTGTAGTTTATGTAAAAATGTTGCAATCCCCTTCATGTCTCAGCATATCCTGCTACCAATGAAAGTGGTCATTGCAGTTTCAACTGTATCTGTTTCAACAGTCTGGCCGCTTCTGGGTGTGTATTTAGTAACAACACAGACACATCTGAGATAACAGTGAAGTGTTTGATAGGAGTTTCACAAACTGAATGTGAAAAACATGAATCTGTGCTGAATTAAACTGCATCAGGTTGGAAGTTGACAGACAAACACTGCGTGACCCGGTACACGAGAGTATTTGCAGTTTTAAAGTAAAGTTTTCATCTGTAGCATGAGAAACTAGTCTAGTCATATTGTGAATTCCTTAGCAGGGAGAGGAAATAATTGCAAGGTCCATTGTGCAATGCTGACATGAAAGCTCACAGCCAAAACCTGACACAAACTAATCACTAGTAGAATGTTAATGGCCCCTGCAGTTACTTTAATATGGTTTAGAGCATAACACAGGTGAAGGTTTAAAACAAGAAAAAATATCCACTGTGCACAGAAACGCTCTTTTCTCAGTGTTTGCTTCCTCACACTTTAGTTCATGATATCAGTGCCAGGGTCTCCATATTGTATAGTACACTCAGATGTTTATGCTGACACAGCGGTGTACAGCAGCATCAATCTGGCTCATTATCTCGAGCACCCTAAACCTGTGTAGAGCTGTAACCGAGGATACAAGAGCGCATCCTTTGCAGAAGTCTGTTTATTGGAAATCAGTTTGTGATTGGACACTTCACATGAAGGATCGAGGAAAGGACATCTCATGTCAGTTAAAACTTGTCTCCTTGGTTCCTCTCCTCGTAGCTTCTCCTTGCATCTTTTCCTCGCATCTTACACGGGCAGGACTAAGATGCCAGAAAACGACGCTAATGAGGGAATTATGAATGCAGTTAGGGGAACTGGGATTCAACTCACGAATCATCATCACTACCTGAATGACAGACACTAATAAGTCAAAGTGGAGATGAGAGCATTGCAGCCGACAGGGTGACCTCCAGCAGGATACTACCTACACTGTTTGGTCATCACTGTTTCTACTTATTACTGCACAACAGATAAATCTCGCCCTATGGACATTATAATATCAGCTAGATTGATTTAAAGTAAAGCTGCGCAGCTACAGTAAAGCATCTGTTTCAATGTGTCCACACACATCACAGTGGATTTCATGGACTTTTAGAACTCTCTGTACCGTTTGTGTGTTGTAAACAAAACTGCTAATGCTGTGATTACATTTCCAGTGACTTATGTCAAAGTAACTTGCTGCCAAATGCAGAGGGCCACACTAATGATGGAGCACATACCCACACAATACCCTCTTGGCATTCTCATTTGACCTCTCTCATTCAGTCTTCTGAGGCAGTTGTCATCACCAATCTTTTCATTGTCCTCATGAGACTCTTTGCATGAGTCAGTCTTTTTCC